CAAAAAAACCCAGCACGGTCTGGGATGACAGACAGAGGAACAGCAACAGTATTACCCTGCTGATTTGGAAGGCAAAGCATTATTCCTACTACTCATAGACTGTTAGCAAAAAGGGGTAAACTTTTTATTTCATTCTCTTCTGGTCCTTGCTGATTCTTGTGGACAATCTGGATCTTCCCTTTCCGCCTCTAAGAGGGAAAAGCTGCAGATTTACTTATTTATTTGCATTGTCTAGATGTCCAATAAAAACAGCATAGGCATGTAATTGAGCATAAATATGGAAAGAGGTCACAATGTAAGGAGGCAAAAAAAGTTTTCCAGCTTTGTTTTTTCAGTTGGATATGCTTATCCTATTGCATTAATCTTTCCAAAACAGCCAGAAACTAATGAATTTAATTTGAAATTAAAGAGGAAATCTTTTTATTGCTGTAAAAACATGCTACACGTAAAGAAAAGTAAAAGAGGAAGACTACCCATTCCCTTCACCTGCAGGAGAAAGACATATCTGAACTCCTGTAAGCCTGTTATGGTCTATGTTGTGTTGCTCAATAATTCCCACAGTAGCTGACTCATCCCTGAATTCAGAGTCATCTTCTGAGTTCTGTCAGGCAGATATGTGATAAGTGTTTTTCATTTCCACACATCAAACGCACTGTTTCATTTTGCATTCCTGTTTCTTTCTTTTCCCAAGGTGGATCCCCCCCACCCCACTTCTTCACTCTATCCTGCAAATTTAAGCAAAATAATTCAACCAGATAATGTGTTGTTTGAGGGAAATGGTTGGGTTTTTTTTTTGGTCTTTCCAATCAACAAAGAAAACTTTACTCTGAGCAAGCAGATCTCTTAACAATAGGTTAAAAAAAATTGTACCACATTTTTAATATACACTAAGTTAGAAACAAATTCCACAAGTGAGCTAGTCAACCTTAATTCAACCCTAAGTACATCATATTTACTCTGCTGCAATAAGAAACTGCAACGTAAGTTTCTAAACTATGACTTTACACTATAAATAAATTCAGAACTATGGGAAATTAGTTGATATAAAACTTGAAATATTCCCCTCCTGTATGCTTATTTGTGTGTTGAATTAGACTATTTCAGCTAAAACAACCCCCAAAGATTAATATAATGAAAAACTATATCATGAACTCTATACATGACAGAGAAGAATTAAATTGTATATTTCACTAAATTTCACTGAATTTTTAGAGTTGGAAGGGACCATAGAGATCATCTAGTCCAACTCCCCTGCTGAAGCAGGATTGCCCAGAGCTAGAGCATGTTACTCAGGGCTGCATCCAAACGGGGCTTGAAAATCTCCAGAGAAGGGGACTCCCCACCCTCCCTGGGCAGCCTGTCCCAGGGCTCTGGCACCCTCACTGTGAAGAAGTTCTTCCTCATATTTGAGTGGAACTTCCCATGTTTCAGCTTGTGCCCGTTGCCCCTCATCCTCTCACTGGCAACCACTGAAAAGAGTCTGGCTCCCTCCTCCTTCAAGCCACCCTTTAGATACTTAATAAATATACTTAATGTATACACGCATATGAAATCTGCCACCTCCCAACCTCTAATTAAATCCAGTACAAAATTGTCACATTGCACGCAATTTTCCAAATTTTTTCTTAAGGCCTTCGTAAAATGGGAGAGTGATAAAAGCAATTACTACTTCTAAATAAGCTGTACAGCACACCAAAGGGATCCCAGCTATGAATTATTGCACGGCAACACAAGTGTCTTTTGCTTAATACAAGGGCCTCAACCTAGAAACCAGAATATTACTATTCAATACAAGACGAGTTAGCAACATGTAACATGCCTAGAAAATGTCTGGGACAGGAGTAGTTTAATACCTTGATGCCTTTGTAGTTAAGGGAAGCCCTACCTTTTGTTTTGCCCCAGTTAGACAAGAGAAGTTAGATCTGCCTGTTCATCCTCCCTGCTACAGCGTGAACACACGCTTTGATCAGCCGGAAGATTTGAAGGGCTCGGGACTTCCAGCAGGAGGATGGTACTGAGAACACCACAGATACAAGCTACGGCTACACTGCTCCTTCCCCACTTTTGGTTGCCAGGTCTCTGTTTCAGCAGCAGCAGAAGGGAGTAGAGGGTATGTTGACCGGGACCTTCTCACAAAGAAATACATGGCATAGTAATGGATGCCATATAAATTATTACTGCCTGTTACCTTTTGAAAGGGCCTTTTGTGTTTGATGCCCTCTGAGTAAGTCCAAATAAGTTTGAGACTTGAAAAACCTAAAGCATAAGAAGATAATTTTCTAAAGAAGTAGTGTATTCTTGGACAAAGCCTCCCTGAAAAATCTAATTATTTATCTATATCAAGTACCATCTGGGACACTGGAAAAACACTAGCTACCCTACTTTATTTTTTTTTTTTTTTCAAAACTAAGACGAGGTATTCTGAACACTAGAGTGGATTTTTGAACAAACAGATCATTGTAAACAAGTCAAATAAAAAGGCTCAAATCAAACATTCAATAGTTCTGAAGGAGGAAAATGGCAAGAAGTATCTTAGATGTCACCAAAGGTGTGAGATCTACTCAGAAAAGGTCTGCTCTAAAAGACTTATCTAAAAGATAATGCAATAGGTTTTAAAAGTACAGATATTTTTCCAAGAGACTTGATTCTCTTTAACACTTTGCAACAAGTGCTATGGTTTGATATTATAGACCCTTGTACTGAACACTGCATTTGACAGACAGCATAACAAAAGCCAGTATTTTTGTATCTCATGGTTCTGTTAAGAATGATACATAATTCTCTAAGCATCACTTAACCTTACCTCATCTGAACATACCTTGAGCTGTTACTGAGCAGTCTGTACAACTTGGTATTTAAATACAAATCTTAAGTCAAGAAATAGACTTGCCATTAAACTCCGTTATTCTGGAGCTGCTTATTTACTTGTCTGAAATAGCTTAAATAATCAAATCTGGCATTTATTTCTCCAAACTTCACAAGTAACCCCTTCTACACTTGCTGTCCCAGAAAATTACAAGTTGGACCGAAATTATACCTCTCATGGTCTAGATTGAGAGAGCCAAGAATTAAGCTTACATATATTACTGCTTGCTCAGCTTATTGCCTCTGGCCACCAAAGGCTAGAGGACCAGTGTTTCAGGGTGTTTACGTGGATCTGTGCATTAAAGATCAACTCCAGGAAACATCAGAGATGTTTACTGCTAGGTCTGTGCTTTATTAACATGGAGGTAGAAAGACATGGGTACAGATAAGAGTCTTTGTATTGAAAATGCATTTGGCAACTTAGTGAGACAGATATGGAGAGTTCCTAAATTTATGCAATTGAGAATTTGTGCAAGCAAAAAGGTAGATCTTTCCCGTTACAGGCAAAAAGGGAGAATTTGGAAGGATGAAACAACTTCCATCCAACAACAAACAAACAGGAAGGGAAGTCAAAGACTGTTTCAGAGAAAAAACTTTTTTAAAGAAGCATTTCCAAGCCCAGAAAAGGCTCAACTGTATGTTTACCTTATAACAGGTAATAAAAAATAGAAGCTTCATTGTCTCATCCTGGGTCTTTCAAAGCTTGATGTTAGTATTTGATTCAAGGTTGTCCAGTGTATTTATAAATTGGAGGGTGAATATAGGAAGAGAACTGTGCTTTTTATGTATTCTATCTCTAGCTGGAAAGTGTCAACTGGAATGACATCGCAATTTATCATTTACGAAAATGCTTCACTGTACTAAACAGTTTTATCTACACACTTCTTTGTTTGTATTAAAGTTGAATGGAAAGAATCTGCAATAATTTTTATTAGGCAAGCCGTTTTCTACACTCAAGAGGATATTAAACTACTACTTAGATGTCCAAGACAAGTTTAGAAGTAATCAAGAAATATCCTTTATAAAAGGTGACATGCGTGCAAAGCAAAATTAATAACCCCCAGAAAGGAGTATAAAATTGTTAACTACCATCACTAGCACTTAACTCACCTAAATTCAGAAGTACTAAGACTTGTTGATGAATTAAAGGAAGAGCACACAACCATGTAGTGCAATAAAGGCAGGAAGAAACAGAACTATATCCCCCTTATTGCAGAGCTACTTTCAGTTCTCATCACACTCATAAAATTCATAAATATTCTGTTTATGGGCAAGAGAAGAAGTTTCTTGAGATCCAGTATTTAACAAGTATTTATTAACAGTATTTATTCTGTTTATTCTGTTCCTGAAGTTTTTGAAGACAGAAGCTCCAAAGCAACAAGAAAAGCTAAGCTGTGTTCTACACAATGCACATATTGAGGAAGAGATTTCAATCATCCAATACTCTGGAAATACAAAAACACTGATCAGTAAAGCAACAAATTATGCCAACCATCAACAATAGCCATATGGAGCAAAGTACCGTATTTTCAGCCCATACCATTGAGGCTAAAAAGCAAAATACACAAAAGCCAAAGGCTAATCCCACTAGAAGGCAAGGAAAGAGAATTTCATGAGTTTGAAATATAAGTAGGTACTTCTAGTGTGAAAACAATGATGCTACAAAGCAAAGTTACATTACTAAAATATTAGGATTTTTATTCATTTCCTAGTTCTATACAGAGAAAAAAAAATGTTACTGATAAACCAGTTACTTCTTTCAAAAAAGGGAAATCAGTGCTTGAAGGTAGATACGTGAATTTTTAAAATGTAAAAAAAACCCATGGAAAAGTACTGGTGGAGTAGAAAGAAATGGAACATACACTGATAAGGCTACTTATAGCAATCTCATTTTTTCTGTGTGACCTTTTAAACAAGCTACAGAACTAAGAATAGAGATTTCCATCTACAGATACATAACAGAAAACAGAATGCTAGCAGAAGCAGCGTATATTTTCCCATAGTCTCTGCATTAGAAAAAAGAGAGGTTAAGCAATACACATTTAAACATGTATATACTTAAATGTTAATATAACATTTCAAGTTTTACGTTGTCTTAAAATGAAGCAAAACGTACAAAGTAAGAAAACACATACCTGATATACCCTGAGACTCTGTCTGTAGATCACAGTACCACAGTCTGTTCACTGGATCACACCCTTCTCGAATAGACAGCAAGACGTATCGACCATCGTCTGAGACCTGTAAGAAGTTACAGAAAAATCAAAGAAAGTCACCCTCTGGAAAAAAAAAAATAAAAAATCCAACTTGAGAAGTTAGTCCCTAAACCCCTAGCAAAAAATAAATTAATGCTAGTTAGTTGAGTGAATAGATGTGTATGGAACATGAGAACTCATCAAGAACCTACACTCACTGCTTACATCAACAAAAAACATAAATATAATTTGCTGACATTTCAGGAGATCAAAACTAAACAGCATTATCTGTTTATTTCCACCATGAGTTAAAAAACCAAAGTTTACCTTGCCACATAAACCCCATAAAACAACTAATGTACAGCACTAACCTGAAATTTCAGGAACTAAGAATGGACTCAGTATAAACAGCCTAAAACTACAACCTACTGGCAAGAGAAAGAAAAAAAACCACAAACCTACCAAAACCACAAGCCACATTAAAAATAGCTTGCAGTCAATACCTTGAAAATGGAGATGTTTAACTGAATCCACTATGTTGCATATAAAGCACTATTTAGTCCTGCGTCAACTGGATTGCCAGGCTCTCACTGAACCACAGTACTCAAAAAGAACCCTCCTACATCAAGTAAGTACCTTTATGTAGCTCAGTAGAAATTTCTCAAAAAACCACAAGGCAGCCACCTCTGGTGATGTAGGTATCCAGTTTTTCTCTAGTCACTGACTATAATGTCAGCATTCAAATCCAATGTTAAATTGTGCAAGAGCATTTGCTGCCTTAGACATCCTTGTAAAGATGTAACGGAGTGACCAGTGGCTTTTGTCCAAAAAACCCCCTTAAGTTAGATTCTTATGAAGATGATGTGAAAAATTCTGAACTTTCAAACTCCATCAAGGTAACAATTCCATGCAAAAGAAAATTTACCTCCCCGCTCTCAAATCCTATGGAAATAAATGGAGCCCTGCAGTGACATCTCTCATTGAAAATCAGTAATTTGGCATATCCATATAAATTCAGGTATTTTAAAAGATGCAGAGATGTATCAGGGATGCACTTGCTCATCAACCAAAGGAAAAACCATGCTGCTGAAATTGCTAATACTTAAGTGAAGGAGGCATTTATCTCAGTCAAGTCTTCCATTTTAATCCCAGTGTAAACAATCCTTTTATCCTGCATAACCTGTCAGCTAAACTGAATCTACAGAAAAGAGTTTGTCACTAAAATCTTAAAATGGGCCCTTGGTGCATCTACATAAACTGACTGGTGCCTCCTCTACACAAGAGGAGTCTTCACCATGCATCCTCTCTCTAGTAACTCCAGCAAGGTCAGTGTTTGAGCCTGTGAATAGCCTAGATATGCCAAAATCCAGGTTTGAACCTGATGCACGCAGACCTCCACACGTGCCATCACAGTGCTCTGTACAGAGCAGTGGAGTTTAATCAGAACAATGCCCGTTGTTTGAATGGGAAAACCAAAATGCAGTTGCTCACAATGGCACGACAGTGAAAACCATTGTCAGCACTTGACATATGGCAAACATGCTTGCTCTGTGCAGCTGCTCTGTCCATCTATTCGTTTAAAAGTGAAAGCCTACTTAATACTGTTATTCACAGGATGACATACAACAGCAAAAAAATCACCTGTGTGGTAGAGGTTAGCTCTGGATTTCTGGCTGCCTTAAGGTATCTGCCACAAGCCCACTTCAGATGTGGAAAAAGGTGGCAGCTTAGTCCCTCTGAAGGACGGTCACTAAATTCACAGCAAATTTTCCCTTAAGCTCTCAAGTGATGGAATTAATAAGGTGTGTTTTCTGTCACAAAGCAGTATGACATTTCTTCCAAATCATCCAAGCTGGTAATTTTAACGGTACTTTTGCTCAATTGTGGCAAACTAAATGATGCTAATGGAGTTTCCAGGTTTGTCAATTTCATTAGGTTTACACACACAAAAAATCCAATGCTGCTGTTAAATGACCATTATAACATACAACCACATTCTAAATTTTGTGATGAAGCTTCTTGGTTTCCTTTTGGACATGCATGTACACACACAATAAAATTTCCAAAATGATGTCTGCTGGTAGATAAAGTCATCAATGAATCCCTCTTTCTACTCAGGCTTCATAAACATATTCTGTTTCCTGGCAAAGCTTTAGAAAGTGCAAGTCCATCAAAGAAAGGCAGGAAGTAACAGGAAGTCATCAACTTAGTTTCCCTCTCCTGACTGAGCTGTTTTGAGCATATTCCAAAATTACCAGATTTAGATGTTTTATTAACAGCTGATACAGAAGGCTGCTTCCTGTCCACATTCTTACATGACAACGTCTAATGGAAATTTAAACCCCTACTCACAAAATATGAATCTAAGTTCTGGAAGCTTTCCATTTGGCTCTAAACATATTTTTTTAAAAAAATTCTTATTCATATATTGCAATTACTTCTTAGATTTACTTTGGTTAATATTCATAACATTAATTCTACAGATATTTTGCACAACTAGTTACGCAAAATAAATTTCAGAAGAATTATGTCCTAGCTATACTGCTATTCAAACAGATTCAGTTTTGAAGACACAAGAAGGGAACTTAGTAGAATACAGAGCCAAATCTCAGTATATGAAAGCTAATAAAAAAACCCCAACAACCAAAACAAACAAAAAAAAACCCCAAACCCAAATAAGTGTTTCCAAGTCATTTTACTGGCATTTTGTCAACAACTACTTATACTGCTAAAAAGTCCATAGAGCTGAAAGCTCACAGGGCAAATAGAAAACACCTAAGATTCCTACAAGACAAGAAACCTGAACCTGTTACATGAAGCAGTTCAGACAGCTTTAACAGGACAGCCTGCAAAATTCAGACATTTTGTCTTCTCCTTCCAAGATGGAATGGAAACCAAGATCAGGTGATCTTTTTTGATCTTCAGTGTTTTAGACAAACATTATCTGCAGGCGTCAGTTTTAATTAAACTAGGGACTGCAATATGCTGCTTAAACAACTGTTCATACTTGTAAAAGCACTAAGTTTCCTTTTCTTCCTCAGCAACTCATAAAACATGATAAATAATTGCAAGTGGTATATACAAATATAAATTTCAGTTTAACTCAAGAGTATGACACGCAAAATTCTTTCAGTCATAGTCAGAACCCACATAAATTTATTCTTTGATGTTTTGAGTTAACGGTTAACAGAAGGCTGCTTGCTTTACCCAAGAAAGAAAACTTATTTGCAAATTTCTGATGTTGTCGCTGCAGAAGCAATTCAGAATGTCTGATGACAGCAAATCTGAGTACATCTAAAGAGTTATTCCTTCCATATTTCCCAGCTGCACTACTGGAGTTGATAGCAGTTTATGTTTAATTTGAAGTAGGAATTCCCAAAGCATATTGGCTGGTGGGATGCCAATTAGGTCTGCCCCTATCACTAAAGCTATTCTTACATCAGGGAGCTCTATAACCCAAAGGAATTTGACAGAAACAGGACAAGACACTGTTGACTGCGGCATGCTAAAATGCTTAGTTTTATACCATGGATTTAGACATCCACATAGCAAAGTTACAGTTTGATGAGCAAATATTGGTAGCAGTACCATCTTATGCTGTCTCCACCTCTAGCTCTTCCTACTGCTATAGTTGCTTGGATCCAAGCAAGCTCATTCTCCTAGTCATGTCAGTACAAGCATTTCCCATTTGTGTGGTAAACCAGACTGGGGAGCTGATTGACCTGAAGAAACAGCATGTTGTAACAAAAGCCGAAAATTAAAAAGAAGGAAACAAAAAGAAACAATAATAATCCAGGAAAAAAAAACAAACAAAAACACACAAACAAAACCAAAGAAGAATCCAGGAGGGGAAAAAACCCCAAAACAATGAAAGAGAAAAAGAATAAAAGAAAAAGTCCCTCTGCCAGTTTATTAGTATCTCAGTCACTTCACTGTGCAGTTGCACAAATGGCTAAGACACTGCACCAAGCAGCTGGAAACATGAATAACAGGGGCAGAGATTGCTTAAGGCAGCTCAGATGGCAGCGCTGACAAATGCGCAATCACTGCCTGAATGCACTGACTCTTCTATACCATAAGCAGAGAAGAGTGTGAGCTTCAAAACAGCAAAAGGAAATAGGATTTCTCAACTATCATTTGGGTTATTTTAGCCTGCTACATCATCTTCATGAGCTGAACTGCAATCCTTGCTCTTGGCCCACAAACTTACAAACTGAAACTTCATAGCAGTATTTCACTCAAATCGTAAGAGCGCATTCATGGTTCAGCATGAGGGAGACAGCTGTAACGTCACAACTGACAGCCTGGATGAGAAATAAATTCTCCTGGTTTCCCACATCCATGCTGAAAAGGAAACACATCAAGAATTTCTGGGAGAGATCTGGAATGCTAATCAGTGAGCATTTCTCTCACTGAAATAATTTCTATCATTTCAAACAACATCCACTGGTAAAAGGTAAGGAGGTTACAAAGCAAGTGAACAACTTAACATGAATTTTAGGTCCTGTCAAAACAGGACAGAAGAAATCCTGTAGCCTTTCAACTGAAGCTTTTAAAATCCTTCAGCTTAACAATGATTTTATTGGCGTAACACAGCACTAATCCCTAACTCAGCACTAGAAAATGATTATTTCAAAGAGCTGATGTTGGCATATAGTTTGTAGTTTGACTGCTGCCATTCAGTCACTTGGCAATTTTGAATTTATTAGATTTGTTATTTCTGAAATATTTGCTGTGACCACCTTTACACAATACAAACATACCGAAGTATCATTACAATAGCTGTGCTCCCAAGTGCTATTCTATTTAATCTTTCAAGGATCAAACTCTTTAGACCAAAATCTTTATAGAGAAGTTTTGATTTATAGTGGAGTTTTTTTTGTTTTTCCTAGCAATTTTGTTTCTATATTACCGGTTCTCTCCATTTTGATGAAAAGTAACCATTGCTTAGAAAAACACTGAGAGATGAAGTGGTTTACCTGTAACTTCAATAAATGGATATCAACAGGAAAAAAAAAAAACTATTTAAAGCCTAATTAGTAAAAG